CCTCTGGGAGCCACCTGGGCTCTAACGATGATGAGGGTGGAGATGACGCATGGCTAATGCGTGCCACAGACTTGTCAGGTCCCGTGCTGAGCAATTTACATGGATGATCAATTTCAGCTTCACCCTAATTCTTAGGTGGGCACTACTAGCACCCTTCCCAACTTTCACAGATGGAGAATTTGAGGCTCACAGGTCAGTTACTTGACCAACATCACAAATCTGAAAAAGGGATGGATTCAGGATTTGAACTCGGGCTGTCTGACTCTAGAAGAATGACAGGGACGCTCCTACAAGGCAAAAGCAGAACAGAGGCACACAGAGGGACAAAGGCATCTGAAGAGCCATAGAATGGACTTAAGTCCTCTGGGACCTCCCAGATTCTCCCACCGTAACCCCCGGTTTAAAGTTTGTTTATGGTCTGGAAGAGCACCAATTAGTTGAGTTTTTTAAAACCTGTGCCACAGACATCACTAGGCTGTAGCACGCATGGCAAAGGAGAAGGTGGAAGGCCATGTTGCCACCTGGAACCCAGTCCCAGCACACCCTGCTGTCACTTTGCATTTGCCAACCTGGCCCCACCTCAAAGGTCCCACAGTGCTCCTCCGAGGCCACTACAGCTCTGCCCCATTGACGTTTCCTCATTCCCAAGTCTGTCTGTGCAACCCACCCCAACCCCATGGCACTGCAAGCCCCAAGAATAGGAACTCTGTATGACTGCTTCAACTTCATAGCTTCAGCTGACTGCAGGGCTCTGCCTGTCCAAGAAGCATCCAGTAAGACTCCTTAGACCTTCTTTGGCCTTCTGTGTGCACAGCCCAAGTCAAAGAGGTCTTGAAAGCAGCTCCAGCCTGCCACGGTCTCACTCTGGCTGAGGCACGTCCAGCCAAGGGAGGCAGAGAGGATCTGAATCGCATGGCAGAGCTGTAACAGGGAGACAAGTCCAGGCACGCTCCAGAAGGGCAGGGCCTCAAACCACCCGGCCCCGGCCCCAGCCCCCTAGAGACACAGCAAAGCAAACAGCCCCAGACCACGCCACCCAGAGCTGCTATCCTGCAGGTCCCAACAAGATCTGGGTGGGTGCAGAGGGGGTGTTTTTCAACCGATCTTGCACATTTTCTCTTCCCCATTAATGTACCTTCAAAAACCTACAGCCCTGAAAACACAAAGGAATAACTCTTAAAGTAATTCTCTACAAGGTTATTCACTCACTCACCAGCTAAGGGAGGGGGCACCTCTTCCATGACAGGGACAGGACCAGGTGCTAGCACTCCAGCAGCACCTGCTGCCAGGGCATGTCCAGCATAGGCCCCAGCATACGAAACATTTGGTGAAGGTTTGTCCCGTCCCCTTCCCTCCCTCCAAGCCTGATAACTAGTCAGTTTTCACTCGCTATCCAGCAGCATCCTTTAGAAGCCGGCACGCCATCACCAGGGTAGCAGCACTGATTACGGGGGTGTTGTCGGGTTAAATCCTAGTTCTGCCATTTGCTATATCAGGTGCACGTGTTCTCCCCTGCACAGACCACCTCTGTGCCTCTACCTAAGTTGCTGGATAATAACAGTTCTTTCGTCATTGAGAGTATGTAAAGCAGTTAAAAGACGACTTAGGCTGGGTACGGTGGCTCATGTCTGTAATCCCAGCACTTTGGGAGGCTGAGGCAGGTGGATCACTTGAGGTCAGGAGTTTGAGACCAGCCTGGCCAACATGGCAAAACCCCCTCTGCTAAAAATACAAAAAATTGGCCAGGTATGGTGGCTCACACCTGTAATCCCAGCATTTTGGGAGGCCGAGACAGGCAGATCACGAGATAAAGAGATTGAGACCATCCTGGCTAACACAGTGAAACCCAGTCCCTACTAAAAATACAAAAATTAGCCAGGCGTGGTGGCACACGCCTGTGGTCCTAGCTACTTAGGAGGCTGAGGCAGGCGAACTGCTTGAACCCAGGAGGTGGAGGTTGGAGTGAGCTGGGATTGCACCATTGCACTCAGCGTGGCAAGAGTAAGACTCTGTCTCAAAAACAACAAAACAAAAAGTTAGCTGGGCATGGTGGCGTGCACCTGTAATCCCAGCTACTTGGGAGAGTGAGATAGGACAATCACTTGAACCCTGGAAGCAGAGGTTGCAGTGAGCCGAGATCTTGCTATTGTACTCCAGCCTGGTCAACAGAGCAAGACTCTGTCTCAAAAACTAAGTAAAAGATGACTCAGAGCACAGAAATTCTATATCCATGTTGCCCGTGGTTATTACTTGAGTGATGATGATTGATAATGAATTCCCCAGTTATCTGCCACTTCAGCAGCATGGAACCCAACCAAGAACCGGGAAACAAAGGAAAATAAGCTCTGAACATCCTAATAGCTGTCACCATGGCTGGGCATGTTTAAATGTTGGCATTTTCCACCCAAAATAAGGGGAGAATCATCCCGTGAGGAACCTTGACAGTTCACAACTATGCTGCTGCAGGAGCCTGGCTTCTGGACGTCTGGTTTCCAAGGCTGCAGCAGAAGAAAGTCAACAAAATTAAAGGGAGAAAGAAGGAATGCATGTGGACAGTAGGAAGAAGGATCAAATGGCAGAGAGGAAGGAGGACACTAAGAAAACCAAACACGCAAACTCCGAGTACATTTTGTGCATGGCAAACGATGAATGCCGCACCCCTCAATGACCCCTGGGGACGCCCATGTCTTAGAGCCCAAAACAAGAATTATGTTGATGATGATGGTCTTGGGACATCAAAAGGGGGAAGGAATTAAAATCTTACCTATTCATCATTTGTAAAGACTTTTTATCCGAAATTGTTGAACTTCAGAAAAAGAATTGAAATATTTAAATGTATAAACCTCTGACACCTGGAAAATTATTTTATCGTGAATGGGTATTCCCACAGGGGCTCTGGGGAGCCTGGGTTGTGCCATAAATGAAGCCAGCACGGATCAAATTGTTCCAGCAGCCCGGCAGCCCGGCACCACTGGCAGGAAAAGACGGATTTGGCGAGTGCCTCCAGGCTGGGTGGGAGTCCTGCTCCACCATGTCTAATCAGACCCAGCCACTAGACCACAGCTTTCCTCATCTATCCTGCCCTGCCTCTGTGCTCTTCCACGTGGAGAGCAGCAGACACCCAGGGGCCCAGAGAAGCAGGCTGAGTGAGTCCCCCCACTCAGCTGCCTGCCAGGTTCCCAAGAACAGGGACACTGAGTGACCCCATCATGCGGCACAGATCTCTTCAGTGCCACCAGGTCCACAACCTCCTAGATGGTTGGTGTTGGGGAGAGCAACCATGGAGGAGAGCCCCTCTTCCCTCTTCAGATGGACCCCAGAGGTCAGGAACAAAATGGTGAAAGAGAAAGGCCAGGGAAAACCTCTAACACATCACAGACGCCCATACGGCGCACGAATTCATCCCCAGTCTCCCTGCCTCCACCCCACTGCCCTTCCCAGACAGGCTTCCATGTCCCCGGACCTGGGTGGGACCATCTCAGGCTCCCTGTCCCTTTCCTCTGCAGACCAAAAACATAGGAGGAGGGCAAAGTGGCTACAAAGTCCCCCCACTCCCACCCTGCCCTGCATCAGAACATAGAGAAGAGCCTTTGCCTCCATCCCAGCTACTCAGGGTCAAAATGAGAAAGACAAAATGAAGTGGGAACCTCCAGTCGCCCTCACCCAAGCCCTTGGTAGCTGACATCACCCTGCTCACCACACCCTGCCCAGCTTTGTACCCACAGAGGCAGGAAGGATGTCTGGAGACCTCCACACCGCATTCTGCTCAGAGGGTGTTAGAGAAGACGCAAGCCCTGGGAGTCTGCTGGGACAGCACCCTGCCACCATTTCTGGAACTCTCCACTCTGTGGACATGAAGTCTGTGATGCTCAGAAACACCTGGCTGTGCCCTTCTGAGAAGTGGCTTGGGTGAAGGCAGCCGGTCTCTATTATGGCTACAATAACATGTTGCCTGGTTGGAGAAGGGAAAGGCATCTCATGTGTAGCCCTACCCAGGAGCTTCTGGGAAGGCTCTGCTCACCCAAACCCAATGCCTGGAACATCCTCTGGGATGGGGGTCTCCACCTCAGCACTGCTAATAGTTGGCCAGATCATTCTTTGCTGCAGGGGGCGAACCTGTGTACTTAGATTCCTGGCCTCTACCCAACAGAAACCAGTGCCACTCTCCCCAGGTTGGAACAAAAAATGTGTCTTCATTCGTTGCCAAATGGCCCCTGAGAGGCAAAATGGCCTAGGGTGGGAATCACTGTTCCGGAGTCAGGCTAGTTTAGCCCGAGGCCTGAAAGTTGACAGCCCAATGCTGAAATGACTCCAGGCCCCACATAAAGCAAATCTACTTTTACTATATTCCACATCCACAGCTAAGACCCCTCCGCTACCCTTCCACCTGCAGCCATGCTCGTCCACAGCTTACTGAGTGCAGGGCACAGGGTCTTTCCTGGGCATTTCAGAGGACTTTTCGGCCTGTAGCTCCCTCTTCACTAGGCCCTCTTATATCAGACAGTGGCCAAAGAAGCATCCCTTGGCTGCGTCCCAGAGGTCAACCCAACATTAATCCTCAGAAGAAGGCCCTCTGTAATCTCTGGAAACACATTTGAAGAAAGAGAGGCACACATAGATAAATGTGCATTTGGGCCTGAAGGCTCCAGGCAAGGCCAACTTATCCATTAGGCTCTGCAGGCACGGTGCCTAGAACATGTTTTTATTTCTATTAACATCAGAAAAAAAATTAACTTTTAGGTCAGAAAAGTCTTAATACGTAATATCAATACATTTGCATTTATTAAACCAGTTATAAAATACGGTTTTTTGTGTTTTGTTTTTTGAGACAGAGTCTCGTGTTGTCGCCCAGACTAGAGTGCAGTGGCACAATCTCCACTCATTGCAACCTCTACCTCCCAGGTTTGAGCCATTCTCCTGCCTCAGCCTTCTGAGTAGCTGGGACTACAGGCGTAGACCACCATGCCTGGCTAATTTTTATATATTTTTTTTAATTTAAAAAAAACGTGGAACACTTCACGAATTTTCATGTCATCCTTGTGCAGGGGTCATGCTAATCTTCTCTGTATCGTTCCAATTTTAGGATATGTGCTGCCGAAGCAAGCACTGATTTTTATATTTTTAGTACAGGCGGGGTTTCACCATGTTGGCCAGCTGGTCTTGAACTCCTGGTCACAGGTAATCTACCCGCCTCAGCCTCCCAAAGTGCTGGGATTACAGGCATAAGCCACCATGCTTGGCCATATTAGTCCATTTCCATACAGCTATAAAGAACTGCCTGAGACTGGGTAATTTACAAAGGTAATTTACTCATAATTTAGCATGGCTAATGAGGCCTGAGGAAACTTACAATCATGGCAGAAGACAAAGGGGAAGCTGGCACCTTCTTTACAACGTGACAGGAAGAAGTGCCAAGCAAAGGGGGAAAGAGCCCCTCATGAAACTATCAGATCTCAAGAGAACTCGCTATCATGAGAACGACATGGGGGACCCACCCCCATGATTCAATTGCCTCCACCTGGCCTCTCCCTTGACATGCAGGGATTGTGGGGACTACAAGTCAAGATTTGGGTGGGGACATCAAGCCTAACAATATCACCTTGTCTCTGCTAAAAATTAAAAAAAAAAAAAAGAAAGAAAGAAAAACAGCCAGGCATGGGGTGCACACCTGTGGTCCCAGCTACCTGAAAGGTTTTCATGGTTAGATCACTTGAGCCCAGGAGTCAGAGGCTGCAGTGAGCCATGATCACACCACTGCACTCCAGCCTGGGTGACAGAGTGAGAGCCTGTCTCAAAAACTAAAAATAATCATTTTTAAATTTTAAAAATCTATCTTTTTACAGAAGGGCCCACAGAGACAGTGTCCAGGGCCCAGATGTCGTATGCAACCCTGGCTCCAGGTCCCAGAAGGCAGGGGCCAACTGGGCAGTGTTCCTCCAAGAGGACAAAGTTGGTTTCCTGTCCTGAGATGTCCCAACCTCTCTGAGGTGAAGGTCAACTTTGTCCACCCTCACAGAGGCCACCTGGATTCAAGGGTATGTTTCATTCCATTTCTTTATTGATCTCAGCACTGCCAAAGAACATGCCAATAAGATGAAGAAATCCAGGGTGCCGGGTTGCTGACGCAAGGTCTTTGAAAGGTGGTTTAACAAGACCATGCATCAGCATCTGCTTCTTTCTCCGGAACAGGCTTCTGGACTCAAATCCAGTGGCCAGATCTGAACTCTACATCTTGAAGTGGAAGCCCAGGGAAGGGAAATGAAAGAGTTGACCTGGCAGAGATCACAAAGCATTGTGGGCTGAGAATAGCCTTCATTCCTTTTTACCGTTCCCAGCCAAAGAGATTCAAACCCCAACGTCTAACTGCCTGAGTTGGAATTCCAGATTTTATCACTGAGCTCTGCAGCACCAGACAAGCTCCTTAAGCTCTCCGAGCTTCCACTGTTCATCTGTAAGAAGAGGACAGACAGTGTACACCTCCAGCGGGTCACTGGGAGGATCCAAAGAGACACTGCCTGCATCTACCGTGAGGGCCTGGCACACAGTAGGTGCACATGGGATTAGCACTTAGCCACTTCCATTTCCTGCCCACCAGGAAGTACCCACATCGCACCCCCCCCCACCCTCAGTCAGACACAGGCATCATCACACATTACCAAGTTTTTCTCATATATCCTCTTATAGGCTGCAGGAACAATCCACAGGAAAACATTCCAGATGTCGAACTCCAACTAGAGATGGAATTTGCCCTCTGAACAAAAATACCAAGTTGTATTTTTTTTTTCTGCCTAAGAGAGTTAAGTTCAGAATAATATTAAGCAACCACTTATGTATGCAACTCCATGGGCTATGGTGCAAAGGGCACTATAAGAAATGGTTCTTAGCAACCTGAATGACATCAATGGAAAAGGTTCATGGGCTTAGAAATGGTTGACAGGAACCCTCAAGGCCTCTGAAGAGACTTTTCCCTATGGATAGTAAGCATTGGCTCCTCTCCCCTACATAGCACCTGGAGAAATGGGTCAACATAGAAGCAATGACTTCACATATGGAAGGTTGAGCTTTTCCAAAGAGAAGTCAGGGAGATGACAGACAACCCCAGGGCCATTAGTGGGGGGCTTTGAAGGGCAGGGGTGAACTCCCATCCTTGCCTTGGGTAGACTGCCATACCTTTCAACCCCTGAAGGAGAGCTGGAGGTAAGGCAGATGGGATGAGAAGAAATGAATCATTGTCCCATTTTACAGATGGCAAACCTGAGCCCGGATGGACTTCCATCTGAATTCACAGGAGCAAACACAACCTCTCTGCCATTATCAGCAGTGCTTCACAATTGCCATGGGGTCCCTACATTGTCTTTTGGACCACCCTTACTAATTTAGCCAGGAGAGCAGCTGGAAATTGATAGCCCAAGAGCCTTTATTGTTCACTCCTATGCTTTCATACCCAGGTTTTCAGACTTAATTTTGGCACAGCCCATTTTTCCAATGTAATCCTGTTTGTTGTATCAATGATCTTACTCAACAAATCAAACCCTATGTTCGATAGAAATGGACTCCCATAAAATCTCATTTTCTCCTAGTGCTCTGTTCTGACCTCAGTGCTCTATTTGGAAATTGGTGATTCCTGATCTGTGAGAGACCTTAAAGCTCTCTTAGGAACCTAAGCCCCAGAAATCTAAAAGTAACTCCCCAGTCCCGTCTGCTTGGAGGGTGTGGCATTGGTCCTTATCCAGACCCGGTGAAGAAATGAGACCTTTTCCCTAGAATGCTCACACATCTTCCTAACAGCTCTATGTGTCTCCTTTCTTTCTTCTTTTCTTTATTCTGAAGAAAGCCTTACCATTTTCCAGGCTTCTCCTCCTACCTCATGATTATCTTGAAATCTAAGAGCAGGGTTGGGGAAGAGGGGTATCACAGAGATGGTCTAAGCCAACCCCGAACCTATCATTCCTCCAGTGAACTCACCTCTTGCAACAGGTGCATTTCAAGCCTTTCAAGAGTTGATTCTGAGTAATGGGCCAGGGGAATGAAGGTTGGCTGCCGCTGCTTCCTGGTTCAACCCTAGCCGGGCAGAAAATTCACGTGGCTCCGTCTTTGTTAATTTATCCCAAAAGGCACTTAGCCTTGACATATGTTGGGCAACAGGATAAAAACTAACCACCATTCTCCTCCCCCTGCTATCTAGATGACTCCACTAATATCCACAGCAGTGGATGATTCCTTAACAAACTGGAACGAGCAATGAAAACCAGTAGTCAAGAACCCTGAATACCAGTGCTGCCCCTTGGGATTCACCCGCGAGTCAGAACCTTTAACCTCTCTAAGCTAATGTCTCAAGTCTGAAAAATGATATTAACAATTCTGCTAAAATGATAGCTGCTGTTAAACAGGACATGGTATTATTGCCCCTCAAACTCATTGTGGGCAAAACTAGGCTTTAGAAAAAAATGTGTGGTGGCCGGGCAGGGTGGCTCATGCCTGTAATCCCAGCACTTTGGGAAGCTGAAAGTCTTGCTAAAAATACAGCCCTAGACCCCAGCCCCAGAAATTCAGAGGCAAGGGCTAAGGAGTCTGTATGATGAATGATCCCTCTCCTCTCAAGCTCTGGCATTCTCTCTGTTCTGTCTGGGTTTCCCTAAGAACTCCTTGGTGAGTAGAGAACGATGCCTCTTCTTTTTAAGAGATGTGGCCTCATGTACACGTTTTGCAGAGACGCAGCCTTGTGAGCTCATGCACTCATGGGCTTGTAAACAGACATATAAGCATGTTTGGATACATGGAGAGGGGCCTTTCCTGGCCAGGCGTCATGGGGGTTTCTAGAGCATGCCCTCATGCTGCCGTCTCATCTCGGGTTCCCCCCTGGGTGAGCAGAAACAGCACAGCCTCTCCAGAGCCTCCCTGCCTGTGCACTCTCCAAAGGGCTGTTGTATAAACATCAGGGTCATTCCTGGAATTACAAAGACCTGGGAAGGGTCAGGGCTGAGACAGACAGTTTGGGAAAACAAAAACATGCTCAAATTCAGCCAAGGTCTCTGGGGCCCCATGAGCCAAGCTATCCTTGAAGAGCCAGAGAAATTGATATCAAGATGGCAAAGAGCACTATCGGCTTTCATTCCTTTCTGTGGGTCCCAAACATTTCTCCTCGGGTTCAACTAAAGCCATTGGAAACCTGGTAAGGTGACCTAGTTGCTGAGGCCCAAGTGAGTAGAGTGTGCTTTGATTCAAACTTGGACCAGGGATTATGGGAATGGGAAGAATGTGCCTGACCCAGCAATTCTACTTCTCTCTCCACATGCACAGGGACATATGCACAAAACTGTTCATTACAGCATTATTAGTGGTTGTAAAAACACTATAAGCAACAAGATCCAAAAGTCTTTGGAATGGAGAAATAAAATCAGTAGGGTAATACAAAGGAACACTATGTGGCAGTTAAAAAGAACATCTCTGACCTGTGTATGACAACATTAGATCTCAGAAACCTAATGTTAAGAGGGAAAATAAAACCTTTATGTACATTTTCAATTTATCTTCACAAAACAATTTAGACAATATTAATCACTTATCATACATATGCATACAGATGCAATATATGCAAACATAGGCATATTAGTCATCTAACATATATATGCAAATCTGCTTAGCTAAGAAAGATAAACACTAAGTACTGCATGCTAGTGGACAATATATCAACCGCTCACGGTTCTGGGTGGTAGACTGGTGTTATTACATTGTTCTTAGCACTTTTCTGCATTTTTTAAATTTTTAAATGCATTTTTTCTGCATTTTTAAGTGCCAGGCGAGCTGGCTTATGCCTGTAATCCCAGCACTTTGGGAGGCCGAGGTGGGCAGATCATGAGATCAGGAGTTCAAGACCAGCCTAGCCAATATGGTGAAACCCCATCTCTAATAAAATACAAAAATTAGCCAGGCATGGTGGCACGTGCCTGTTGTCCCAGCTACTTGGGAGGCTCAGGCAGGAGAATCACTTGAACCTGGGAGGTGGGGGCTCCAGTGAGCTGAGTTGGTACCACCAACTCCATTCTGGGCGACAGAGCGAGACTCCGTCTCAAAAAAAAAAAAAAAAGTCACCTCTTAACGTCATCC